TCCGCCCACTATGGGGATGCTGAGCCACGCCCATGGAATAAGCCCCACCTCTACAGGGACAAGCCCCACATGCAAGGGATCAAGCTCCGCCCACCGATGTGCAAGCCCCGCCTCTCTGGGCAGCAGCTCCACCCTCTGGGCAAGCCCCGCCTCCATTTGAGGCCCCGCCCTCCACAAGCACTTACCCAGGGAGCCCCGCCCCCTATTCTCCCTGAAAGGGGCAGGGGCCTCGCTCCGGCCACACCCCCCCCCGGGGCTGTTTTCTACCCGGATTAATAACAAATGGGAAAAATAAAAACGGATACTCGTCTGTGAGGGAGGGATTGGGGGATCCAGGCATCCGGGGTGGGGGTTGGGGGACACCCCCCCATTTGTGCTTCATTTTGGGCCCCTGAAACCCTCCGAATGCCCCAAAACAGACTCAGGGATGTGTGGGGGAGGTGCAGCTTTAATCACAGTTTGGGGGGGGGCTGGGGGGCAGCAAAACCCCACGGGGGGGGCCCAGGGCCCCTGCAGCATCTGAGCGGGTTGTGGGGGGGTTCTGTGGGGTCCTGGAGACCCCCTCCACCCCATGTAGCCCCCCCAGAGTCAGACGCTGAGCAGCCAGAGGAAGAAGGCGGCAGCGATGAAGAGGAAGATGGAGTCCAGCGAGCCCACGGGGGGGGCCCCAGCATCCCCTGGGGGGGGCACCCCAAAACCCACTGTGAGTGGGGGGAGCCCTGGTACACCCCCACTGGGAGCTCCCCAAGAATGGGATGGGAAAGGCCCCTGATCCCTGGGGGGGCGTGGGGGTTATTTGGAGCCCCCCAGGGGCCCTTGGGGGGGGTCCTTTAGTCCCAGGGAGATAGCGGGGGGGGGTCCTTTTAGGGTGCACAACAGGTCTTGGGGGTCCCTGGGGCACAGGGAGTTTGCAGGGTCCTGGGGGACATACCTGTGCCAGTCGGGGGGGGCTGCGGGACGGTGCTGAAGAAGGCGAAGGGGAACGCTCCGAAGCCGAAGGCCACGTGGAAGCTGCTGCCGGGG